ATCTCCATTCCCACCCCACTTCAGGGGAAGGGAAGGATATACTGTAAAATCCCCATTCTCTCCCCACCTTACTAACCTGCTTTCCAGCTCCGTTCTCCTGTGCAGAAGACCCAGCCGATCAGCTGGGACTCATTGGGAGGCAGAGAATAGATGGGGGCGGGGTCAGTCAGAGGTGGTATTCTGAACTACTCAAAAGTTCCACTACCGGTTCTCCAGAACTGGTCAGAACCTGCAGAAATAACACCTCTGCAGCAACCCTTGTAGATAGTGAATGGGGGAGCTGACTTATAAGTAGCAGAGAGCAAGCACCCCTAGTTCTTGTCTGTGGAGATTCTCAACCATCCAGGTCCTTGTCCCAAAGGAGCTTTTTCAAGAGGCAACTGGACTTTCTTCTTTTTCTTTGAAGACATTTCACTTCTCACCTAAGAAGCTTCTTCCGCTCTGGCTGGTTGTTGGGGAATGGAAGGATTTATACTCCTTGCAGACAGCAAGAACTTGTATTCTTTTAGAGAGACATTGAGACCACTTGGAGTTTCATCTGTGTCCTCAGGGTCACCTGAGTGGTGCAAATGGCTGTGGAGCCTTCTTAGAACTGTTGAAAGGACTGTGTTGTAGACTGGAGATAGATGATGTCCTATTCCTTCCTCTCTATTGAGAGAGCGCTGTTCAATTTTGACATAGATGGCCTCTTCGTCAAAAGATGTCAAAATTGAACAGCCCTCTCTCAATAGAGGGGGATTTATGGGATCACGGGGATGCTGTGATGGTCGTAAGTTGTTGTAGTTAGCTGGCAGCAGATGCAGATGGTTGAGTAGAGCGAGGATTCAGATGAGGGGCCAGGACCATTAGGGAGTGGACTGCTGCCCTCAGAGATTGTGGGGGCTGGCAGCAGTGATGAGGAAGTTTCCAAGGAGCCTGTGCTAAGTGCATGTGAGCGCAGGATTCCTTGGAGAAAAGAGCAGTTATAACAGCATGGGCAACTCAGGAGAAAGGCTGCAAGATAATGGCCCCTCTTTCAAGAAGATAAAAGCCAACTGTGAAACTAACCTTCTTTGCAGAAGGCAAAGACATTTTGAAACTCCAGCCTCGTGGACATTCCAGTATCTTGAGTTTGTATTTGAAGATTCTTATTTTGCAAATTATTTCTTGTCTGTTATCTTTTGGCAAGTCTTGCACAACTTGGCAACATTTGTGCTTGTCACAGCTAATTATTTTGTAAAAGCTTTACAAGTTTTCTGTTTCTTTTGGATTGTGTTTGATTTGTTGGAAAAGGGTGTGGGTCAGATGCAAGTGCAAGGACTCATACGTGCTGTTGTAACTTTGAACAGTCACTAAACAAATGGTTGTAAGAGATAAACAACACTACACACCACTCAAAAGAGACAATCCAAAAGCCCAAAAGGAAACAAAAAGATCCAAACACCTCCTCACCAGCAATCAACACCCACATGAGCAGAAATTAACACCAAGATTAAGACGAGATCAACAATCAAGACAAATACCCCAAACAAGGAATTACCAGTGCAGATAAAAACAGGCTAACAGTAAATAACAGCTTAATCAAGAAACCACCAAGAACATTCCCTCCAACACTGACAGGGAAAGCCACCAGTGTATAAAAATAAGAGCAAATCCTACTGCCTTCTAGCACTGAAGATGTTACCTAGTTTGGTTATGAAATGTCTGAGAACAAGCTCAGACAGTGCTAAGGACCCCACATGAGCTCAACCATGAGCTCCAAATACCCTCTTCCATCAATACGAAATTTACCTGATGATGACACATTGGTTCTCTCCATCAATGAGCATATTGCGGTACATGTTGTCTGTGAGCGCATAGATGTGAGGTGGATTCTCATACTGAGCCTAGAATATAAATCGGAGGCCTACAGTCAGGACTTAACATTTGCATTCATGGTCTTAGTTTTACTCTCTTGCTTTTAATATATATAAAGGGGGTTTTATGTTTACAGTGGAATCCACGATTTTTACTTTTTGACTTCTGCTAATGGCTTAATAACAAACAGGGAAGAAAATTCCCACCACACTAGTGGTGGGGTTCAGCCGGTTTGCACCAGTTCAGACAAACTGGTTTTTAAATTACCCTGCCCCCACTATCAAAATGGATCCTGGGCACTGAGCTGCAATGGAGAAACGGGCAACAGAGAGGCTGGTGCAAAGGAAGGAGACGCCTGTTTTCTGTCTTTCTTCTCCCTTCTCCTTCCCTCACGCCAGCTGCTCCGTTGCCCATTTCTTCATTGCAACACAGTGCCCAGGATCCACTTTGATAGTGTGTGTGCGGGTTAATTGAACAACTGGTTTGTTCAGGGTCAGGTTGGCCATTGTGGGAGGTTCGTCCCGCATGTGTGGCGGAACTGAACAATAGGGATTGGCCACACCTCCCACGACAGCCAACCTGACCCTGGATGAACCAGTTGTTAAATTATTTGAATCCCACCATTGTACCACACCATATGAACAAGGGATTTAATTGAACATATTGCATTGTAATAAATAAATAGAATACATACATGAATTTGTACTAGTCTGTGATTTCAATAAACTGAATTGATTGATTAATACATGAATTAATCTGAGCTCAAGGAATTAAAGTGACATAAAATTAAAATAAAACCAGCATTTCTGGGGATCATATGAAAAATCCATTTAATCTATCATCCTGAAATTGCTAGATATTACCTGCAACCTGATATAATGCAATTGTTCTTCTACATTTCTTACTTCAATTTGCAAAATCTTAGATCAATTTTTTAAAATTTTTATCAGCAGACCTCAATGTTTTTTCTAGAAAAAGTGATATCATTATACAATTCATTTTATTGGCTGGATTAAAAAAATGTAACTGGATAACAAAATAGATTGTAAGAAATTCAAGGAATGGGATCGTTCAGAATCCTTGGCTCTTAAATTGATTTTTCTCATTGAATTGACTCACCGCTCCTTGATAGAGTTCAATTTCTCGATCTGTAAAGTAGGGCATCTGCTTAAAGGGGTTGACAGAAATAAGGACTGGTCCAATATAGGTCTGAGCATTGCTTATTAAGGACCAGAAAGAGGAAAAATAAATGGGCCATGATTTCTTTAATGATGCTTGGGGTCAAAAAAACCAAATGAGATTTGCAGCCATTGCGGCTGCCATCTTGTAGACCAAACAATGTGCACTTAAAAAGTGGGTATCTTGAGGTATCAAAGCTACACCTGCAAGATATCCACAGATTCTTTCCTAACTGGAGATCCTTTGCATTCATGCCTGAATATAGACTTATATGTGGGTTTTCCCTCACAGAGCAAAAAACCTGGACCACAGCTTAATGACTGTCTGAAGTGATGATGCCTCCCCACCCCCAAAAAGGTACTTATAACCAGGGGTGGGATTCAACCAGGGGTGGGATTCAACCAGGGGTGGGATTCTACCAGTTCGCACCTATTTGCTACAACCAGTTGTTAACATTCTAAACAGTTCGGAGAACCGGTTGTTAGAATAAATTACTGGCCTAATCCTGTAAGGAAGGCAGGAAGGAAACATTCTGGTGTTGCTTACAGAAACTGCCTCTCCGTTAACCCTTATTACATTCTTGGCAGGACTAGACTTCCTGTCTCAGGAACGTCTCTGGAGTTTTTTCCTCCTCCTTTGCTGGTACTTTGCTTGTGTGGACTGACCATTCAATGTTACAATGGCACTGAAAAAAGTGACACGATTATTTTTCACACTTACGACTGTTGCAGCATCCCCACAGTCATGAGAGGCCAGGCGAGGAGATGCGTGCCTCGATGTGAGTGATATGGAGTTGGCTGCGCCCAGCCAATCACATGACCACCAAGCCACACCCACCAACTAAGCCACGCCCACAGAACCTGTTGTTAAAAAAATTGAATCCCACCCCTGGATTCAACCAGTGTTACTGCTGGTTCGGTGACTACGTTTTGCGTGCGTAAAAATACATTAAGCTGTGCCACCCGGAGAGCTGGAAAGCGTTGTGCGCAGGTGCACAGCGTTTGAAAAGCCTCTTTTTTCCTGCTTTTTCAACCTCAGTTGTGCCGCGCAAAGCAGCTGAGGTTGAAAAAGCAGGAAATAAAGGACAGGTAAGAGCCCGGGCAGGCAGGTGGGCCAAACAGCAGCAAACACAGAACTGGTTCGGTGTCTGCTGCTCTTCAGAGCTACCGGTTCTATAGAGCCTGGCAGAATCAGTAGCATCCCAATCCCTGCTTATAACCTGGTTCTGAAGTTCCAATGGCTGCCTGTTGTTGTGGTCTCATGACTTCATTTCACGTGCCTGGCAATCGGCCTGCATTTATGAACGTTTACAGCATCCCGTGCCCATAATTTATGAGGATTTTTGCTGAAAACTGGAATTTTCTTCCAGTTTTTGGTAAAAATGCCCCCAGCGAACAATAGTTTCGTTTAACAGCAGCCACAAAACCCAGCAGCCTCCATTTACAGTTGTAACAACGGTTTAACGAACGAAAGGCTTTTTCTCATCAAACGGACTCAATCGATCCTTTCAACATTCTCCCTCATCATCCCCCCCCCCACACACACATACACTTTAAAATATGGATAAAAGGATACAAAAATATAATCATCCATGTAACGTTTCTTCAGATTTTCAACGATGGCATCTTCATTAATTTTGGAGAGCAAGACCATGTCATCCACCCCGCTCTGTTTGACATTGTGGCTTTGCCAATGAAAGCGTTCCTTGCTGCCCTTTAAGAGAGAAGGAAAAAAAAAGAGATTTTATCCATGAGAAAGTAACCCTGGATGACGTGAGTGATCAGTCACTTTTCTCTGCTCTGGCTGGAGTGGATGGAGTTATAGCCAACACACCTGGAAGGCACCTGGTTGAAGAAGTATGACATACAAGGAATCCTCGACTTACAACCATTCGTTTAATCATCATTTTCTTCTAACGACGTCATAATCCCTTGCGGGGTGGAGTCTGGGTGAGCAAATGGAGCTAGCAGGGTGTTTTAATGGCCGGATGCCCTTCCTGTCACCAGTGTGGAGTTTTCTTCAGCAGATATATTCTCAGTGTGCCCAGAGAGAGAAATACCTGCCTCTACCTAGGAGCGAACTCACAGCCTCCTGATTGTGAGGCGAGAGCTCCACCCTAGGCCACCACGCCACTCCATCCAACCATTTGTTTAATGACCATTCAAATTACAACAGCACTAAAAAAAGTCCCGTATGACCGGTTCTCATGCTTATGACTTATGACTGTTGCAGCATTCTGCACAGTCATGTGATCAGATTTCCGGTACTTGGCAAATGACATGTTTTTACGATGGTTACAGCATCCTGGGGTGCTGGGATTGTCACCTGGAACCTTTCCAGCGAGCTTCTGACAAATAAAGTCAACGTGGAAAGCCAGATTCACTTAATGATTGCATGATTCACTTAATAACAGCAGTGATTCGCTTAACAACAGTGCCAAAAAGTCATAAAAGGTGGACCTGACTCACTTAAACAGCTGCCTTGTTTAGCAATGGAAACTTTGGGCTCAGTTGTGTCATAAATTGAGGATTACCTTTAACTTTTATCCCTTGCAGATTTTTTTTTTAACCAAAATTGAATTTGTAGTAAAAAAAATTCCCCTCTTTTAACCACCAGCTAAAGATCTCTGCAAATCTTCAGGTTTTGAAAATAGAGCTTTTATTCTGCACCTCTGGTTTTAATCTGTTTTTCATGTTGAGATTGCTATACATTTTGTTTCTTATTCTAAATTTGCTTTGCTTTTGATACATTGGCAAGTCGGATGAGTGAATAATGAGACTTCCCAGGAGTTTGCCTCTGGAGTTCAGTAAAAGAGAGAATGAGTAGGAATACCTGTTAGTTTTGAAGGATTATATACTGAAATGGGAGAAGTGAAATGCCACTTCTTGAAAGAAGTAAAGTAGGTTGGAATCAAATCGAATCGAATCAAATAGAATAGAATAGAATAGAATAGAAGAAATGGAAGGGACCTTGGAGGTCATCTAGTCCAACCCCTTGCTCAGGCAGGAAACCTTATACCATTTCAGACAAATGGTTATCCAATCTCTTCTTTAAAACTCTCAAGATTGGAGCATTCACAACTTCTGGAGGCAAGTTGTTCCACTGATTAATTGTTCTCACTGACAGGAATTTTCTCCTTAGTTCTAAGTTGCTTCTCTCCTTGATTAGTTTCCACCCATGGCTTCTTGTTCTGTCCTCAGGTGCTTGGAGAATAGCTTGACTCCCTCTTCTTTGTGGCAGCCCCTGAGAGCTGAGCCCGGCCGAGCGAGCGCCTCTGCCTGATGCCCATGCCGCTGCAGCATTTGGAGCTGCTGGCACGTTTGGAGATACGTGGGGATGGGGATGGGCTGGGCGAGGGGTGGAAAGGATGGGAGGCTTCGGGCTCTCTCCGCCGGACCCACCAGCCAAGGAAGCAGTGCTGTCGTTGCTTCGCATCCCTGTCCGCGGACAGGTGGGCGCTATCACTGCCTCGGGCAGCCTCTCCCGGTGGCCCCTTTGGGGTTGGGCTGGAGGGACTTGGGAAGCCAAGCTCGGGTCAGCCCTGCTCTTTCACTTGGCAGGTGGACGCACACCCGTGGCTCACTTTTCTGGCTCTGCCCAGCCCGCCCAGCTCCGGCGCAGCCCTGGCAGGATGAGCGGAGGGCCCAGCAGGGAGGCACTTGCTGCCTTGGCCAGAGCTCCACCACCGGGCAGGAGGGCCCACCTGTCAGCTGCGCTGGGCGCCCAAGGTGAAGCTCTTTGCGCTCTGCCCAGCACCAGGCAAAGATGGCGGCTGGGTGCTTTTCCCGGGGTGGGGCAATCCTGTGCTGTGGCCCCAGGAGATTTGCCTCCACAAGTGGGGTTGGGCTGCCCTCTCGGTCAGGGGAGGCTTTGTCCTAGTAGGGTGTCATTTTTAAAAGAATGGGCTTTGCCTTTGAATGATGCCCGGGAAGGCGGCGACAGGAGTGCCTGAAGTCGAGTGTCTCCACAGATTGCAGGGAGGAGCCCTGGCCGGCCCCGCGTGGCTGTGCCAAATGCCGCGGCATTGCTCCAAACGCCGTGGCAGCATGGGGAGAAGGGAAAGGTATAGTGGCAGAAGGTCTCCTGATACAAAGTGCCCCCACCAATGCTGAGGTCAACGCACCATATCTGGGTGTGCAGCAAAAGTATTTGATGACAGTAGGGAGGTTGGTGGCAAGGCATGGCTCCCTGCAGGGCGCTCCTAACTGAAAGCCCCCTGCCATTCCCCCCCACCCCCGCATTTTGCATGTTTTAATATAGGCCTTAATTTGGGGGGAGGGGCTTAATTTCATTTTATGCCTATAAAACATGCTGGGACTTCCTATTGGGGGAGGCTGTATTGTTGGAGAAACACGGTACTTGTAAATAAGAATAAATAAAATTAAGTTTTGAAAGGGGAAAAGTTTAAAGGGAAATCTGCAACTTGTTGTTATTGTTGTTGTTTTCAAAGTCAGAAGTTTCTACTTCATCTAAGATGAAAACCTGAGACAGAGAATAAGCCAACGGAATGATAGGGTTTCTGTTGATTATGTTTGAAGAAGAAAGAGGGAAAATGTAGGGATAAGAACCTGAAACTGTGAGCCACATGGCTGGTGGGATGTGTTAATTCCTCTTGAACTTGCAACATACCCACACTTGTTACAGTACTTGAAGAAAAATCAAAAGTTTTAGAGCAGCTGGTGATCATCGTTCAGATTAGGGGTCTCCAACCTTGGCAACTTTAAGCCTGGAGGATTTCAACACCCAGAATTCCCTAGCCAGCTTTGCTGGGGAATTCTGGGAGTTAAAGTTCTCCAGGCTTAAAGTTGCCAAGGTTGGAGACCCCTGCGTTCAGATGATGAAAAAGGCTGAGGATTTATCAATTCTAAGAAAGGAGGTTTTACAACAGAACTATTGTTCATCTTCTTAGAAGTTGGTGTCCCTTTCTCATTACCTTTCTGTTCCTTATATGAGAAATCCCATTATTTTTCATTTATCACAATTGTATAGCTGTCCATCTTATAAGAAAATGACTCTGGGTGGCATACAATATTTATTTTTGGGAAATCTTTACTAGTTCTTTTCATCTTGCTCTCACTCACACACAAAATCCTTTTCTAGTTGTGAGATGCTTTTCTGGTTGTGAGATGCTTTTCTTTTTTTCCCTTTTGTTTATATGTCTTTGAAATATCACGACCAGTTAGAAGGAAGGGGAGATGAAGGGCAGCAATTTGTTTGTATATTTATAGGACCATCCAATCAACAACATCACTCGGAGCTGAGTATAAAAATTAACAAGAGACACAGAGGAAAACTGCACCAACTAATAATAAATAAAATGGTAGCAAGCCTTAACATTAATTAAGGAATTAATTAAAATTAATTAATAAATTAAGGAGTGAGAATAATTACCAGTAGAATGGCTTGACTTCAGAAGTTGTGGGTGCTCCAGCACTGGAGGTGTTTAAGAAGAGATTGAACAGCCACTTGTCTGAAATGGGATAGCGGAGTGGTGGCTAACCTTTTTGGGCTCCTATGCCAAAAATTGGGTGCACGCTCGCTCGTATACCAGCACCTAGAAGGCAATGTGTGCGGGCCCTCCCCACACCCCATGCGCATGCGTGTGCGATTCCCACCCGCTGCCCTCCTACCTGCACTGCGCCTCCCAGCTGATTTTCAGCCCTTGAGGCTTTTTTCGGTGTCCCAGAGGCTCGAGGGAAGCCTCTGCAGCCTTTGTAGGCCAAAAAATGGGCCCATTTCATCACTTCCGGTATTTCCGGAAATACAGGAAGTGATGAAACAGGCCTGCTTTTCGGCCTACGAAGGCTGCAGAGACTTCCCTCGAGCCTCTGAGAGGCCAAAAAGGCCTCAAACTGACCAAAAATCAGCTCTGAGGTGCAGTCAGGTAAGCTTGCCTGGGACTCGCATGCCCACACAAATGGCTCTGCATGCCACCTGCCATTGTGGGGTAGGGTCTCCTGTTTGAGCAGGGGGTTGGACTAGAGGACCTCCAGGGTCCCTTCAGCTCTATTCTGATTGATTGGTTAAAAATATACTATAACTCGACCTATATTCATCTTGGCCCAAAAACCTTGGAGAAAGGTTTTGAGTCAGCCATGTATTGAGGGAAGATTGTTCTAGAAGGTAGAGGATTACTTCTGAGAAGGGGCCACCAACTGGTTAACTTTGAAATGAAATGAATGGAATTTTATTAAATAACTTTAAATGATTTATAAATGAATTCACTTGATTCTACAGTGTACCTATGTCCACTCAATATTTACCTACCTGGTCACAAAATATAATTCTAACCCTATCCTGATAGATGGAGCTTTCTTTAGCTAGGACTCTGAGTCTCTCTCAGGCACATCCTTCCTAGTTCCCTCCTTGTTCTAGAATGGTGTTTCTCAACCTCAGCAACTTTAAGTTTAATGGACTTCAACTCCCAGAATTCTGGGAGTTAAAGTCCATACATCTTAAAGTTACTGAAGTTGAGAAGCACAATTCTAGAATAGAAACTGGTTAGGGATGCCCCACATTGCAGTGCTATGAATGGCAACCTTATGAGGAACAGCCCTCCAGAAGGAAAACAGAAAAGAGTGGAGCTAGATGCCAAAAATGCCAGTGCAATCCTAAACTACATTAACAGAGGGATGCAATGAAGACCAAGTGAGGTACTAATACTACTCTATAAAGCCTTAGTAAGACCACACCTGGAATACTGCATCCAGTTTTGGTCACCACACTATACAAAAAATGTTCAGACTCTAGAAAAAGGGCAGAGAAGAGCAACAAAGACGATTAGGGGACTGGAGGCTAAAACATATGAAGAACGGTTACAGGAACTGGGCCTGGCTAGTCTAGTGAAGAGAAGGACCAGGGGAGACATGATAGCAGTCTTCCAATATTTGAAGGGCTGTCACAGAGAGGAAGGGGTCAAGCTGTTTTCTAAAGCACCCGAAGGCCAAACAAGGAATAATGGATGGAAACTGAACAAGGAGAGATTCAACCTGGAAGTAAGGAGAAATTTTCTGACAGTGAGAACAATCAACCCATGGAACAGAAGTTGCCTTCAGAAGTTGTGGGAGCTTCATCACTGGAAGCTTTCAAGAAGAAATTGGAGTGCCATTTGTCAAAAATGGTATAAGGTTTCCTGCTTGGGCGGGGGCGGGGGCACGGGTTGGACTAGATGACCTACAACATCCCTTCCAACTCTGTTAATCTGAATGAATGAATATTGCGTCCAGTTTTGGTCACTATGATATAAAAAAGATATTGAGACTCAGAGTGCAGAGAAGAGTAACAAAGACGGTGAGGGGGCTGGAGGCTAAAACACTCAAAGAAGAGTTGCTGGATATCTAGTCTCTTCTTTAGACTAAACGAAGAGAAGGAGTAGGGATGACACGATAACAGTCTTCCAATATCTCAGGGCTTTCCACAAAGATGAGGGGATCAACCTATTCTCCAAAGCATCTGCGGGCAGAACAAGAAGCAACGGGTGGAAATTTGTCAAGAAGAGATCCAACCTATAGCTAAGGAGAAAATTCCTGCCAATGAGAACAATTAATCAGTGGAACAGCTTGCCTCTAGAAAATTGTGGGTCCTCCATCCCTGAAGCTTTTAAAGAAAAGATTGGACAGTCATTTGTCAGGAATGATATAGGATCTTGAGCACAGGGTTGGATTAGAAGACTTCCAAGTAGTGGTGGTATTCAGCAGGTTCATACCAGTTCTGGAGAACGGGTAGAGGAAATTTTGAGTAGTTTGCAGAACCGGCAAATACCACCTCTGACTGGCCCTGTCCCCATCTATTCTCTGCCTCCTGAGTCCCAGCTGATTGTCTGGGTCTTCTTTTGTGCCCTGCACAGGAGAACAGAGCTGGAAAGCAGGTTAGTGCAGGGGTGGGATTCTACCAATTTGCACCTATTTGCTAGAACCGGTTGTTAACATTCTAAGCAGTTCAGAGAACCGGTTGTTAGAAGAAATTACTGGCCTAATCCTGTAAGGAAGGCAGGAAGGAAACATTCTGGTGTTGCTTACAGAAACTGTCTCTCCGTTAACCCTTTTTGCATTCTTGGCAGGACTGGACTTCCTGTCTCTGGAACGTCTCTGGAGTTTTTCCCCCACTCCTTTGCTGGTACTTTGCTTGTGTGGAGCGACCATTCAAAGTTACAACGGCACTGAAAAAAGTGACTTATGACAATTTTTCACACGACTGTTGTACCATCCCCACAGTCTTGAGAGGCCAGGCAAGGAAATGCGTGCTTCGATGTGAATGATGTTGAGTTGGCCACACCTAGCCAGTCACATGACCACCAAGCCACGCCCACCAACTAAGCCATGCCCACAGAACTGGTTGTTAAAAAAATTGAATCCCACCCCTGGGTTAGTGGGATGGGGAGGGGATGGGGATTTTGCAGTAATCTTCTCCTGCCATTCCCACCAAGCCACGCTCACAGAACTGGTAGTAAAATTTTTTGAATCCCACCACTGCTTCCAACTCTGATATTCTGTATTCTATAAGCTCAATAGATGGAAGTAGCCGTCAGACGGAGACAGGGAAGCTACTGTGGTTTGCTGGAACTCAGAGTCCTGCAGAGGAAACAGAAGCTGAGTATTTAGAGGAAATAGAGTAGACAGGGCAGAATGGGTGATGGGAGGGTGTTATTAGCCCTAAAAGGCAAAGAGGATGCAACTGGGCCCAACCAGAAGAAAAGAGTCATGCTATTTGGTGACTCTTCTCTATGAAGAACTGAAACAAACATGTCAGCCAAGCCCATCGGCCCATGAAGTCTGTCGTCTTTCAGGAAATTCCTGACTGGCTCTTGCCTTTTTTTTTTTAATATGTTTTTACTGAGTTTCTAATTTTCAACATAAAGCATCATAGTTTCAACAACATTCTTGACATCTGTACACGTTTTTATCATAAATATCTTAACACATTGTATTTATATTTATCTAATATTAATTAATAACTTTATAATCATTATTCCTATATTCTTACATAATTTACAAATTTACATTTTACATTCTTAAGGTTTCTTACAGTTAAGTTTCTTGTCTTATTTTTTTAGTTCTGTTTGCTAACCAGTCATACCATTTATTCCAGATTAGGTAATAATCAGAGTCATGTCTTTCTTTCAATTTCAACGTTAACATATTTATTTCGGCACTTTCTGTGACTTTTTGTAATATCAGTTCTTCTTTAGGAATATTGAGAGTTTTCTATACCTGTGCAAAGGTTATTCTGGCGGCTGTTGTAATATGTAGCAACAAATATTTTATTTCTTTGGGTATTCTATCTTCTATCTAATTCCTAAAAGGAAGGTTTCCGGTCTGAGCTCAATCTGATAAACAGTGATCTCTTGAAACCAGTTTTTAATTTGAATTCAGAATGTCCTAGTCTCAGGGCACAGCCACCACATATGATAAAATGTACTGCCAACCTTCTTACATTTCCAGCATTTTGGGCTTCTTGCCAATCTCGTTGGGGCCTTTTATTTTTATTGTTCTTTGATTTTAACAGCAAGACACAGAGCCCTCACAGAAACAAAAGAAGATCAGATTTGACTACAGGGTGAAAAAAGTGGATGTATTATAGTGATTAAAACAAACAAAATGCTTGGAAGTGCAATAAAGAAAGTGGAACATATTTTCACTTATGGTGGAAGTGTAAGAAAGCTCAAACATATTGGCAGAAAATTCAGAAATGGATAGAAGAGATGTGCAAAATTAAAATAGAATTCAGACCTGAAATTTTTCTATTGGGAATTAATGCGGGAAAATTTAATAAAGATGTAATATACTTAATAATCCATATCACCACAGCTGCATGGTTAGGTTATGCCCAAAGATGGAAAGGTAATGAAATGCCAGATGAGATGGAAATAATTAGGAAAATTTGGATGGGTGCCAAAATGGATAAATTAACTCGTGAGTTAAAAAATAAGACCGAATCTGATTATTATAAAATTTGGGAGAAGTTTTACCACTGGTTGAAAAAAGGAAGGAACAAGAATATTAAAGATGACTAAAACTTATATATATATATATATTTATGTAAATTTGTATTATTTTCTATATTTATTATTTAATGATGTAAGACAATTAGGTGTGTTAGGATATATGCACCACATTCATTGTTGTTTTTAAATGTCTTTTTTGTATGTTTAATAAAAATTATTTAAAAAACAAACAAACAAAATGTAATAGAAAAGAAAATGAAAACTGACTGATTAAAAAAAGAGAAGGGTGACTAAAGATAGCGGTTTAAAACTCATTCAGTCTATAAGCTTCCAAAGGCAGTCCTTGACTTACGACCACAATAGAGCCCAAAATTTCCGTGGCTAAGCAAGACAGTGTGTGAAGTGAGTTTTGTTCCATTTTACAACTTGTCTTGCCACGGTTGTTAAGTGAATCACTACAGGGGTTAAATGAATTGTTTGGTGATTACGCAAATCTGGCTTCTCCTATAGTCTTTGCTTGATGGACATCAGCTGGGAAGGTTACCAAATGTGATCACATGACCCCAGCTGTGATTCCTTTAAAAACTGTCTCCCTTAGCAACAGGAATTCTGTCCCAATTGTGGCTGTACGTTGAGAAATATCTGTATCAGAGGTGGTACTCAGCAGGTTCTGACTGGTTCTGGAGAGCTGATAGTGGAAATTTTGAGTAGATTGGAGAACCGGCAAATACCACCTTCGACTGGCCCTGCCCCATCTATCCTCTGCCTCCCATTGAGTCCCAGCTGATCGACTGGCTCTTCTTTGGTTGCCCTGCACAGGAGAACGGAGCTGGAAAGCAGGTTAGTGAGGTGGGGAGGGAATGGACATTTTGCAGTATCCTTCTCCTGCCACCACCCACCAAGCAACGCCCACCAAGCCACGCCCACAGAACCAGTAGTAATTTTTTTAAAATCCCACCACTGATCTGTATGACTTTGGAGAGAAGTCATGTGATGGCAGTGACTTGAAACAAAGCAAATACCAATGAGATAGGGACTTGCAAGGGGGATGCTGAAATTCATGAGGTATAGCTGTTTACCAACAAGGATGAATAGAAAAGATTTCAGCTCAGCATCTCTGCAAGGATGTCTCATCAGGACCGTAAAGACCCTCGCCAGCACTGTTTCTCAGCGTCCGATTTAACATACAAGATCAATTTAAAGCAAACTACTTCCTCTTTGCAGCCCTTACTCTGAATTTATTTTGTTCAGGCTAAGGTTTGCCCTTTTTCAGCTGACTGGCCTACATGTTCAAAAGCCAGAGTTTCTTCACTGTTGCTGTAAACAACACAACCTGAAGAGTTGGTGCAGGATACTGAAAAATAAAGATGCCACATCCTGTATTGACCACCCCAGTGCACTGAGAAAAATGCTTGTTGGATTCTCTCTTTTGGAGAGGAGCCAAGAAGCTAGTTTTTTTTTAAAAAAACAACTTTTTGCTAAACTTGCTAAACTTTTCAAGTCACTGCCCCGAATCCCTTTATCCTGCCCAGGCTTGAGTCTTATGAGGGATTAGATGCCAGCCAGGACCAAGACTAAGGACAGTTGATATCTGATTGTTTTAAAAAACCTTTGTTCAGGATGCAGCATAAAAACATAGCCATGGAGACAGCGGTGGTATGCTACCGGTTTGGACCGGTTTGGTCGAACCGGTGGTAAAAAAAAAAGCCTCCAACGATCTGCTGAGATGAGAAAGAAGAGAAAAGCCCAGGATTGGCCCTTCCACCTGCCCCTTCGCTTTTCTCTTCTTTATCCACTCAGCTGATTGGCACTGCAGGCCTCAACTGATGTGGGAAAGCTGCGCACACGCTTTAGGCGCACACGTGTTAGGTACATGCATGCACGATCACTAAACCGGTAGTGAAACAAGTAGGATCCCACTGCTGCATGAAGACCCTGGTGAAGTGGGCACAGCAGTGCCTGTATTTTCTGCATCACATGAGAAACGTACATCTTCCTCCCGCTGTCCTTATCACTTTCTATAGTGGGATGATCGAGAGCATCCTGTCATATTGCATTACAGTGTGGTTTGGAAGCATTACTGCCTCGGACAGGAAGGCGGTGCAGAGTGGTGAGGACAGCGGAAAAGATCGTTGGCAGCTCACTCCTTTCTATCCAGGTTGTAACATATAGGTGATGCTTGAGCAGAGTCCACAGTATTGTCTGGGATGCTACGCATCCTTTTCATGACCTGTTTTACCTGTTACCTTCTGGGAGGCTTCGTGGTACCTGAAGCAGAATATCTAGATTCGGTCATAGTTTTTGTTCCATATAGCATCAACCTTGGGAACTCTCAAGTTTCCTCCTTCTACTACATATTCATAATGGACAGTGATTAATATATATATTATCAAAGAGACTTGGTGGTGCAGTGGCTAGAATGCAGTACTGCAGACTACTTCTGCTGACTGCAATTTGGCAGTTGAAATCTCACCAGGCTCAAGGTCGACTCAGCCTTCCATCCTTCCGAGGTGGGTCAAATGAGGGCCCAAATTGTTGGGGGCGATAGGCAGACCCTGTAAACTGCTAAGAGAGGGCTGTAAAGCACTGTAAAACGGTATAAGTGCCATTGCTTTTTTTTATATTATATATAATACACACACATGTGTGTGTAGGTATGTAAAGTACATATATATATATATGTATACATAATGTGTATATGAGTCTTATGCATGTGTTTGGGTAAATATATACTTTCTTTTGACAGCAGGCAACAGATTTCAGATTTAAAGTGTGCCAGTATGCTCACAGTAAAAAATAACAATAAAGGTTATTCTCTTCTCCCTTCCTCTTCTCTCCCTTTCTCTCCTCTCCTCTCCCCTCCTCCCTCTCCTCTCCTCCCTCTCCCCCATTTCCTCTCCTCTCCCCTCCTCTTCATTTTATCTGTATCTCATCGCTCTCCTTACATTACTTTACTAACTGGAGCACAAAAGGCATTATCCTCAATAATTCAGAGACTGGTGGGAAAGAAGTGAGGAGACTGGATTCCAGGTGAGACTCTGGAAGTCCATGTAGGAGTGTACCTACAGGTAGTCCTCAACTTATGACTGGTCGCTTAGCAAGAACTTAAACAGGGGATTTAGGGAACAGAAGTTCTAATGGTTGCAACCCTCCCCTACAGTCATGTGACCATACTTTGGGCACAAGGCGACATAGCTCTGCATTACAGCCATTTGCAGCATCTCGAGTCACATGACCATATTTTATGACAGTGTTGCTGAAAAGTGGCATTGACTTCTGTTTTTTTGGCAAAATCATGTCATAGCGAACAATGGGATTCATTTAACAACCGTGTAAAAAAGTCATAAAATAAATGTTGGGTATATGGATACACCAACTAGATTTGGGTGAATAAATATATAAACCTAGGTTTAAGTGTTTGTAGCTTTAAGCACCAAACTGCAATGAAATTAGATAATTAAGGGTGCGGTTGCATGCTGCAATAAAAGGCAGTGAGAGAAACGTAACACTTCCTGGTTACTGGTCGCTGGCCTGGTTCCTGGTCTCTCTGCTCTCTGCCTGGCTTGACTGCTGCTGTGCACTCTGCTTGGGGGCTTATCCCCAAACACTAACATTGGTTATGGGCCCAGCCTCTCTCTCATTTGGCTGCCTGGCCTGACTGCTGCTGTGCACTCTGCTTGGGGGTTTGTCCCCAAACATTAACATTGGTTATGGGCCCAGTGTGCACAGTCTAACTAACCAGGATATAGCAGTGAGAGGTTGGTGTGAGTTGCACATTACTGTAAAAACAAACTGTTTGTTAAATAGTTATATATCTGAAGAGCAATGGCACAAGTAAATTTGCCAAGTCTGTCCATGATATCCAGACTAGATGGAACAAACTATGTTTCATGGTCAATGAAATGTAGTTTACTGCTACGAAGAGAAGGTTTGTGGGACATAATAACAAACCCACCAGATGTATCTAACTTAGATCCTACTGTAGAAGAGGATGCCAAAAAGATACAAGACTATGAACGAAAGAATGAGCAGGCTTTATGCATCATAGGACTGACTCTCTCTGACCAGCAACTGATTCATATCCGTGGAGAGGAAAATGCTGCAAACTGCTGGGAGAATCTCAAGAAGATTTATGTTCGAGACAGTGTAGGAGCTCATATTAATCTTACACGGAAGCTGTTTAGAACACATCTTGAGAAGAATGGA